TATGTTATTGTTGTTAGGTGCCATTGAGTCAAGTATTTCTCATAGTGAACCTGTGAACAGCAGACCTGAACCCCGTCCTATCATATGCCATCCTCATCATCTATGACATACTAGAGCCCACTGCTAAAGTAATCATGTCACTCCATCTCATTGGGGATCTTCCTCTCCTTCACTGACCCTCCATCTTTCCAAGAATTTCTTTCACTTTCCAAAAACAACCTCATTTAGCTACATGTCCAAAGTATGAAAGATGAAGCTTTGCCATCTTTGCTTCCAAGGAGCACCCTGGCTGCATTTTGCATGAGATGTATTATATACTTATATATTCTATACTATAATAAAATAACAACACTAAGGTGCACAATCTGTTAGATGCCTCCAGAAACTCTATGATCTTTGATAAATGTTGAAAGTTATAGAAAGGCTTCAAGCCTTTTGTTTATAGAGTCACTATGAGTTGTGCTCGTCTCGAAGGCAATCAATGACAATCTGTTAGAGATATCAAAATGTGAAAGAATATAGGTCTCAATAACCAGCATAAAACTTTCCAATCTTTGTCATTACCACTCTTTGATAGCAAAGTTATGCATGACTCTCAAAATTATAACGTGTTGATAGTAAAGAGTTTATGAAGATTTTCTTGACTTCACTATGAGTTCCCATGCACTAAACTCAGCTAAAAGCCCTGGTGGCTTTGATGCATCACACACTTGACTGTCCAACCTAGAAGTTGGCAGTCCAAATGTAAAAGCCACTCTGCAGGAAAAAGGAAAATAGTCTCCTTCTATAAACACTGAAAAATTCAGAAGCCCATTGAGGGTCTTTATTAGTCAAAATCAACTCAATGGCGATCAGTTTGAGTTTTAAACTAAGTTCTTCTCAATAATAACATCAGAATTTTCTCTCATTCCTTTCAGTGTTGTTGTTATGTGCCATCGAGTCGTTTGCGACTCATAGTGACCCTATGTACAACAGCCCTAAACCCTGCTCTATCCTGTGCCAACCACACTGCCTCTGACACACCCATCCCGATTAATTACCCCAGTCACTGAATCAATCCATCTCATAGAGGGTCTTCCCCTCTTGCACCGTCTCTCCACACTCCCAAGCATGATGTCCCTCTCCAAGGACCTGTCTCTCCTTACAACATGCCCAAAGTATGTCAGACGAAGCCCCAGAATCCTTGCCTCCAAGGAGTAGCTTGGTTTAACCCTCTC